GATATGCTGATCCTTTGAGCATTGACCACGCGCGTTTTCTGGCGCATCTGGCGGGCGCGGAGGTCGCAAGTCTTGCCTCGGATCCACATCGGATGGGTTTAGGGCTTACAGGGTTTTGGATTGAGGGTTTAAGGTTTTGGATTTAGGGCTTAGGGTTTGGGATTTGGGGTTTAGGATGTAGGTTTTAGATTTAAGATGGTTTTAGAGGTTGGGCTGCTGATCTCCTCATACAAATCCTTAAACACGTGGTGTGTAAAGTCTTGGCTTCAGTGGGAGGGAGTGCTTGTACTTGTTCTTTCAGGACCGCCGTGGTTGGTAGCAACAGTGGTTTTCCTAGATGTGATAGCAGCGATGGCAGTACCCCTAAACCGTAAACCTAAAACCCTAAAACCCTAAACGCAAAATCCTAGCAGCAGCGGTGGCGGCAGCGGTTTGCCCAGACGGCTGCAGAGCTGAAAAAGACAGCGGTAACAACACAACTCGCAGCAAAAGACCCTCTGCAGTAACCCAAGGAACGAAACCCCCTCCAATCACCAGCTCCCATACTACACTAAACCCATCCAAAACCCTGAACCACCAAACCCCTCAACCCCTAAACCCCTCAACCCCCAAACCCCTACACCCCCAAACCCCAAAACCCTAAACCCCTAAACCGTAAACCCCTAAACACCTAGAACCCTAAAACCCCTAAACCCCTAAAGCCAGCTGTGGTGCCGATTGAGGCGGAGCTCTAAGCTTCCACGGTTTCCCGGCGTCACTTTGGCAATGATCTTCCGGCGCTGAAGCCTTAGGGGGGGTGTTAGGGCTCTGTTTTCGGGTTCCTTTTAGGGTTCAGGTTTTAGGAGGTCTGTAGGGGTTTAGGGTTGAGGGTTTAGGCGCTGAAGCCTTACTTGGAGGTTCATGGGTAGTTAGAAGAGGAGATATGAGTGGGTAACCATAATTATGACCCATATTAGGGGACTTATAACTCTAATGCTAACTACCCATGATCCTCCAAGTAGAGGGGCGTTAGGGCTCTGTTTTCGGGTTCTGTTTAAGGATTCCTGTTAAGGGTCCCTTTACGGGTTCGGGTTTTAGGAGTTTAGGCATTAGGGTTTTAGGGTTTTGGGTTTAGGATGGTTTAGGGTTTAGGGTTATGAACTTGAAATTTTCGGAGGGCTTGGGGCCGTGTGTTCTTGATTTAGGGGGCCAGGGCGTCCGAACAAACCCTCGCGAGAGCCCTTCCTAGAGCTCGATAATGTGTATATTCTGTTTAGGCTTAGGGCTTACAAGGCTTAGGGCTTAATGAAGGCTTCGCCGGGGGGGGCGGGAATGCCGTGTACCGAAATGATACAAATATACAAAGAAAAAAAATATATATATATATATATATATGTGTATATATATATATATATATATAATATACTTCGGCCCCAAACTACCTACATAGGGACAAAAAAACATAGTATTTGGGTGCATGGACCCTCAGGGGTTGAACTTTCGGGACCTTCGGAAGAGACTGAACGACATGCATCTGCTCGCCATGCTCCATGTTTCATTGAGGTCTTCGAAGCTAGCAGGTGTGTACGGCTTCAATAGAATCTCTTGTCAGGGTTTCTAGCTCTAGCCTTCACCCTCAACCAGCCAGAGAAAACTGGTCCTCAGCCTTAAACCCTAGTAGAACGCTTGACAGTCGGAATTGGTGAGATGATCGCGGATTGCAGGAGCCCCCTGTCAAGCCCCTTAAAAAACCTCATGCAGGATTTCGGGTTTACGGTCTTGTAAGACCTAAAACACACTACCCTTAAGGAAACTACAAATGCATTGATCCTAACGCGGAGACCTAAAACGCTAAACTTCCTAAACCCCAACTCCCCAAACTCCTCAAAGCCCTTGTAGGAACCGGAACCCCTTTATGCACCTCCCCCCCCGGTTGCCATCCAGGCTGCAGATCTTTCACCTGAGCCGTTGCGAAGACCCTTGAAAGGTCCCCAGCACAAAACAGTCTTGCCCCACCCCTTCAAGAGCCGAAAATGCCAGAGTTGCATGGGTTTGGGGTTTAGGGTTTAGTGCTGTGCGCAGGGTCTAGGGCTATATGGTTTAAAGTTCGAGGTCGTTTCATAAAAGATGTTGGGTTCCATGAAATTTACGGCTTGCTTGTGGCTTCTGTCGAAGGCCTGGGCCACCCCTAGACCTTCCAAGCCCCAAAGGCAAAACTGCAACATTTTAATTGCTGGATAGCGGCGAAAAATTCGGGCAGCCTAATGTTTGTAAACCTGGCTTTAGAGTTTCGAAGGATGCATGCTTTGAGCCTTAAATTAAGCTTCACCTTCCGGCTTGGCATGCTTGCCCTAAACACTCCAAAACCTACCAAAGCCGCAAAGCCTGGAAACAGTAGACACAAAAACAAATGGTAGTATACGATTCTAGGTACGGTAAACCCTGCTTATAAACTGCGTTGTCATCAAGTCCCTGTGATATAAACCCATATCATGATCCTGTCCCTATATACCCCAGTTTGAAACTCTACAACCTCTCCAGAAAACCCATAAGACCCTAGCTATGTTAGCAGCCGAAAGGTTGGACGCCGGCAACTGGAAGCATTGATTGTCAAAATTAGGGTACCCTAAATACTAGGTGCCGTACTATAATAGGGACCCAAAAAGGGACCCTAATTTTGACAACCACCCATATGGCGCCGGCATCTTCGAAAACTCTGTTTCGGCTAAGTCCGTCTTCCCCGAAGGGTCCAAGTACCTAATTATCATAGACTCTCCAAATAGTAACCTACATAACTGTTATCCCAAACTCGGATACCTGATTCTTGGGTGCTTTGGACACCTAGGGTTCCAACTTGAGGATTTGGCAGGATCATGCTTTCCTGTACCCTGTACCTGTCAAGGACTTATGCAAATAAAGAAATCAGAATAGGGAACACTAAAAAAGGAAGGTTTGACAGGGTCCAGGTACATTATAGAAGCAATCCTCTAGCGCGAATCTTCCCAGTTCCTGTTCTGTGGAAAGCCATGACTGGCACTTCCCAAAAATGTCGAGACCAACACGAAAGTCGGAAGGCTTGGAGTTTGGACCCATCTATTCTTGGAAGAGGGGTTTATCCACTTTACAGGGTGCTGGAAAGGTGGACGCGCATCGTTCAACTTCGCAGTTGTTATGTGTATAAGTCCCTTACCAGCCCTCACTAAAACCTTGGCAACCCCTCAATAATCAAAAGCTTTCTGAGTTAGGATCAGAGGGACCCTTGTGGATATATATATATATATATATATATAGACCCTCTCAACAAGGTCCCTCTTCGGAGAGCCAGAAGTAGGCTTAAGAAGGGTCCCCTTTAGGGGGTCTACCTACCTGAACCCTCAACCGTAAACCCTAAACCCTGAACCCTGAACCCTAAACCCTAAATCCTAAACCCTAAACCCTAAACTCAACCCTAAATCCTAAACCCTAAACCCTAAACTAAATCACAAGCACAAAAGAAGAAGCACGAAACAAAACCAAAATGAAAAACAACCACAAACTCGAACCCTGAACCCTAACCCTGAACCCTAAAGCCTGAACCCTAAAGCCTAAACCCCAACCCTAAATCCCAAACCCCCAGAGGTTTCGCGACGGGGTCGCCGAAGCTTGGAGATCCGACTTCCGCCATCGGGGCCGGCTGCGACCCCAACCCGTTACCTGAGTTGCGAAACAAACCCTGCGGGTCCATGGGTTCGTTTTTGGGTTCCTTTGAAGGGCTCTATAAGGGTACCATAAGGGTTTAGGGTATAAGGTGCTACATAACATAAGGGCCTTAATTTTAGTATAATTACGATAAGGAACCCCCAAACTAGTATGCCCTGAGGGTCCGTGTACCCAAATAGTATATACTTAAGGCCCAAAGTACCAATATAGGGACTACTCCAAGGCCAAAGTATGTACTATTTGGGTACATGGACCCTTAGTTGCTGAGTTCATAAGCTCCCAAAAAAGTTCACTCTAGTTTTATAGTGGGTAACAGTAATAGTATCCCAAAAAGTGTAAAGTGTATCCACTCAGCTACTAAGTTACGTTCGTCGTCGTTCTAATGGTTAGGCGTCAATAGGGTTTTCAAGATTTATGGGATTTAATATAGGGCTAGGGTTTAGAGTTGATCTTCGTCTTTACAATATATCTTTAGGGTTTGGCCTGCATCTTTGTTCTAAGATGCACCGTTTCGGGTGGTGCAGGTATAGGATTGTTGGGCTTCTTCTTTGCATCTTAGTATTAACTGTTGTATTGTATGCGCAGAATACTTGTACACGGGTAGCCGTGCGCCAACGCAAATTCATCAGGAGCTGGAGCTTGCACCATTCGATGATGCTTCTTGATACTTGCTCTAACCCTAATCATATACTCCGAGACTGGCTATCCCCACAGAAAACAGAAACGGGATCAAAAGATGCACTGTCAAGAGAGGCATGTTTACGCCAGGCAGAAATATCACGTATGGGAAAGACTGTGTGAAGCGTTTTGGAAATCATTGGCAAGATTTAACAAGCTTAAAGGCTACCTGCTCAGCAACCCAAGCCCTGCGACTGCCTAAGGATTGATCCCACATCGAAAATGAAAACCAGGGAACCTCTGAAAACATAGTGCTGTCATGATCCGGGATCTATATCAGGGTTCCCAAGGCTACTGCAGAAGGTGTTATGATGTAGGGGATTGTATGATCAAGTATTCAGCCTCCGATATGGGTAGATCTCTAAGTTAGGGCACCTTCCTACGTCCCCCCAAAATAGTGTGGCAGCCATATAGTAAAAACCCTACAAGGGACCCGAGCTTAGAGAACTACTCTTATGTATACCATCCGAGACATGCTCATCTCTGACGGCCTCTGAAAAACAGTTTTCATGTGGCAGAACTATGACCCTTGTAAGGGTTCATGTACCCTAGTATATGCTTTGGTCGCACTTTGGCCCCAAAGCACCAAAACTGGGACTACTTTAAAACCAAACTATATACTAGTGCTACAACGCAAACAACCGTCACCATAGAAGCTTCGGCACAATGGTACATGTCTGACGTCTCTGAGGATGAAGGAGAGCTGGCAGAACGACGGAGAGCCACCATTTCACAGCCAGGAGAGCCTGGACTGCTCAATTTAGCGATTGCTGGGTTTGAAGTTTAGATAACCTCCGGGCAAAAAGTACATACTTTCGTGGGGCTAGATCCTCTTGAACATGCAAACCCGGCTCATGCTTTTTCGTGATTTAGTTCTATTTGGTACACTCATATCCTTTATTGTACAAACCCAGGGAACAAAAAAGGGCCAACAAGTATGCCCCCAGAAACCCTAATCCCTAAACCTGCCAAAACGCATAAAGGGAACTCCAGAGCGTTGGAATATGGATTAATGGCAGGATCCCCTATAATTTACCTTAAAGGGGTTACGATAATGATAGTCCAACTTTCTGGCTTCTACTGTACCACTAAAAGCAGCCCAAGAGGCTGATCCAGGTGACATCTCCTTGGCTGACTTCTGAACCCCTCCTAAAAGTTAAACTCTTGGCCTCCTTATTATAGTTAATACAGAAGACCAAAAAGGTTAAAGTCCGAAGAGCCAACCAGAAAGTTAAACTCTTGGCCTCCTTATTATAGTTAATACAGAAGACCAAAAAGGTTAAAGTCCGAAGAGCCAACCATAAAGTTAAACTCTTGGCCTCCTTATTATAGTTAATACAGAAGACCAAAAAGGTTAACGTCCGAAGAGCCAACCAGAAAGTTCAACTCTTGGCCTCCTTATTATAGTTAATACAGAAGACTAAAAAGGTTAAAGTCCGAAGAGCCAACCAGAAAATTAAACTCTTGGCCTCCTTATTTATAGTTAATACAGAAGACTAAAAAGGTTAAACTCCGAAGAGCCAACCATAAAGTTAAACTCTTGGCCTCCTTATTATAGTTAATACAGAAGACCAAAAAGGTTAACGTCCGAAGAGCCAACCAGAAAGTTCAACTCTTGGCCTCCTTATTATAGTTAATACAGAAGACTAAAAAGGTTAAAGTCCGAAGAGCCAACCAGAAAATTAAACTCTTGGCCTCCTTATTTATAGTTAATACAGAAGACAAAAAGGTTAAACCCGAAGAGCCAACCAGAAAGTTAAACTCTTGGCCTCCTTATTATAGTTCCGATGGTTTCCGATGGTTTCCCTGGCCCACACCGTGGGAGTAAAACACCTTCCAAACGTTGGGAATACAGAAGACCAAAAAGGCTAAAGTCCTAAGAGCCAGCCAGAAGAACGCCAAGTCTCATGCAAGTCTAAGGTCGTCGAACCCTTGTGGAGCCTGGTGAAGACACAAGGTGTCGGGTGTGGAGAAGAGTCAGACTAGGGTTCCCTTAAAGGGTTCCTTTACGGGTTCCTTTGAGGATTCAGGTACGTTTTAGTTTGTTCTTCTCCTTTTTGCCGGTTTCGGGTTTAAAGGGTTTTTTGGTTCAAGGCTTTCGGGCCTGTCTAGGGGTTTGGGCTTAGGTTTTTTTTTGAAACGGTCGGTTTCCTCTCAGGGTTTTGGGGTTTGGGGTTTTCGTGTCTGGGTGTAGGGGTTGTTTTAGAGTTTAGCGCTTGGGGTCTTTCGGGTGTGAAGGTCAACCTAACTTCTGACACAGGGGGCTTATCATCTCGTAAGTTTAGGATTCAATCCTTGGGGCTTCGTTGCCTCGTCTGTTGCAACACAAAACCCTAAGGTTCCGCATGAGCTTATGATTTGAACTTTGGCTCAGGGGTTTACGATGGAAGACTGCCATCCCTGGCACGAGGGCTGAAGCTTCGGGGTGCCGGGTTTGTTTTTGGGCAAGCCATACAGTAACCCCATAAAGTTGGAAACCGGATTAAGGCCAAATAGTGTTGGGATTCCCTATACATTACTCTCAAGGATTGAGGCCATGGGGTTTCCAACTTTTTGGCTTCTGCTGTAGATGACTAGGATGCGGCACTGGGGAATATAGCGGCCGAGTACGTTGGAACTCGACTTTGTGTTTTGAAGAGGGAGGTATAGTGAAACACATAGCTATGGCGCGTTACAAGGAGGTACCCTAAGGATTAGTGTTGACAATCTTTCAGGCCTCTATGGAGCTCTGCCACGAAGGGGGTCTGGGATCTCGGATTCAGATTCAAGGTTTACTACGGGGGGTTTAGCGGTTTTGCATTCAAGGCTGTAGGGTCCAGGATTTTGGGGTTTTCGGTTCAAGGGTCTCGGGAGTCGGATTTGCGGTTTGGGGTCTGAGGTCTGGCTCAGTCTTGCGGAACCATTGCAGCCGCCTCACAACCCTCTTGGACCATTGGAACCCTGCGATCATGTCAGTGCTAAGCCGTTACAGAATCCCTTGAAAGGCTAGTCTGGATCCTACTAGATCCCACTGCTGATGGACGAAATCCCACAGGGTCCAAAGGTAAACGCTGAATATTGTGTAACTCCATGGCTTGGAGTGTCCGGTGGCTCTGATGGAGTCTTCTTGTCGACTAGCAACCGAAGGAAACCTCTAAAAGAGTGAAACTCACATGGGCAGCCAAGAGACAAGTGGTCGTAGAAGTTGGCATGCAATGCTTGCAAAAACAACGTATAGCCGACACTTCGATGGCAAGCTGCATCGAGGACGGCGTTATAGCCTTTGTTCCCCAAGGTCCCCTGAACAAAGATGGTATTTCTTCCTATGATCAAGGGACCCGGGTCCCCCCCAAAAAAGTAACAGCGTGCTGCTTGGGAGTCCCCATAGCATCCTAAGAGGACCTCTGAAGAATCCTAAATCGAGCCCTCATTTGATAGATCCTTCTACAGCACATCAAAGGAGAAGAGGGTACTGCTTAGAAACCTAGAAACCCTAAAACCCCAGAGCCCTTGAATAACACACATAGGAGGACGCACCGAACCACCAAAAAGATACGAGTGGAAGACCGGGTGGCTGACGAGGTTCGGCTTCAAGTTGGCTGAAGGCATTGCCTGAAACCTGAGGAGCTGGCTGACAGTCGTAAGTTAAAAGTTAAAAGGATTCCCTTAACAAAGCAACCATGAAAGCTCAAACACGCTACAACCCCAAACCTCTAAAGCCTAAACCCCCCCCAACCACAAGTCCCAACCCTAAAACCCTGCACCCGAAGGGCCCCACCACCCTTCAAACAAAGATGGGCAGATGCCTGAAAGCCTTCCCCCAAATCCCATGCGAAAAGCACCCTGCAAGGAAACTTGCAACTAGAACCCCTGGCGAACCCTAAACCCTAAACCCTGATCCTTAAAGGAACCGTATAAACTTCCAATGAGAGGCAAATGGAGGGCCAGCCGCCAGTTTGCCGGACCACAGGCACTCATCGCGGCGTTGAAGCCTCTGAAAGCAGTTTAGGGATCGGGGTTTCGGGATTAAGGATTGGGGCTTAGGGTTTAGAGTTTAGGCTTTAGGGATTAAGGGGTTCCTTTAAGCTTTAGGTGAAGGCTTAGGATTTCTTTACCCATGTATGAACTTTATCAAAATTCTGACAGAGCACCCTTGTAAAGGCACCCGTTAAGGAGCCCCTGGAGAAACCCCGAAGGAAGAAAACATCAAGGGAGGCTCCCAGGGAGCCCAATATCATAGGGACCCTTAGGGGGTGAGGGGGTCACTAGGTCCTTATTATGGGCATTAAGGCCCCCGGACCCCCCACCCACCCCTCTCGGGGTCCCTATGACAATACGCCTGCATTGCAATGTACCTTAAGTCAGAATATTCAGGCAAGTATACTTTCAGGTAAAGCCGTCTTGAATACCTCAAACCATAATGCTAAGGCCCCTACAACAGAAGGAGTATAACTTAATTGTATACCTCAAGCCATAATATTCAGGGGCCTACAGTTGAAGGAATATGACTTACTCACAAGATTAAGGACACTATCATTTAAGAATTTAAGGTCTACTCCTCCATTGAGGCGTATTGGGCTCCCTGGGCCATTGTGGGAACCCTTACAGTAAACCCCGAAAGGTTGGAAACTCGATTAAGGACAGGTAGTGCTGGGATCCCCTATATAATGCTCTTCAGGACTGAGGCTACTGGGTTTCCAACTTTTGGGATTCTACTATATAGGTGGTTGTCAATATTATGGTCCCTTTTTGGGTCCTCATTACAATACGGCACCTGGTATTTAGGGTACCCAAAAAGGGACCATCATTTTGACAACCACCTATATGGGAGTTTCCGAAAATAGGGGACCCTAATATAGTACCCTGAATAGTAGGATCCTTAAAAATTATAAGGTCCCCAAAATAATAAATAAGGTACCCCTAATTGTCGGAAACTCCCACATAGCAATCTGCACAATCTTACAAAGCCCTTGTAGGAACCCTTTCAGGAAACCCTAATACTAATGGGCTCCTTGCGGGGTTCTCTGCGGGGTTCCTTTATGGGCTCCTTTAAGGGATCCTCTAAGGGTGCCTTTAAGGGATTTATACAGGTTATTTTAACGGATCTATAAGGGCTCCTTGCAGGGATCCTCTAAGGGCTCCGTTTAAGGGATCCTCTAAAGGAAACTCCAGAAAGTTGGACTATGGTTTCATGGTAGGATACCCTATAATTTACCATAAAGGGTTTAGGATAATCATATTCCAACTTTCTGGCTTTTACCTTAAGGGCTCCCTTAAGGGAGTGAAGGGAGGCTAGGCCAAGCTTGGAAGCTGACAGCGTCCGGCGCAACTTCGGCCTGAGCCGGGCGTTTCGAGGGTTTCGGGTTTAGGGGTTTAGGGTTTAGAGGTTTAGGGGTTTAGGGGTTTAGGGTTTAGGGGTTTAGGGTTTACGGTTTAGGGGTTCAGGGTTCATTTTACCCTAAACGCCGTGTCGAATTTGAAGAAACGTTCCGTAAACCCCTAAAACCTAAACCCTGTTTTGATTTCGGAGCTTGCGGGTTCAAGGGCTCAGGGTTCTGTCTACCCTGAACCCGGTTTTGAATTCAAAACAAGGCTCAGTTAGCCTAAATCCCTAAAATAAACCGTTCAGGGTTTCGGTTTGGGTTTAGAGCTTAAGCCCTTCAGAGTTTGAGCTTTCCATTCAATGCTTAGTACCCTAACTGCTAATCTCTAAACCTGAACTCTATAAACCTTGTGAGCGCCGGTGCTTTCAGGTTTTGGATTGGGTTTAGGTCGAGGCGTAATCTGCTGGTACTCGGGAGCACCAACCACAAAACCCCTGAACCTCAAGCCGTTAATCCACAAAATCCACAAAACAAACCTCTAGAAGCCATGAAGCTGACGTGTTTCAGGGTCAACCCGCAGGACATCCCAGAGCGCCTACTCTAATTCCAGTTCCGGTTAAGAACCTTGAGCTCCATGAGGATCCAGAAAGCTTCTAAAGCTTCCACGAAGGTACCCAAAAAACATGTATCAATTTTTGAAGGGTCACATGAAGAGTATCAGTACTTGCAGGCTTTCGTCCTTGATCATTTCCGACCACATCTATCGCTAGAGGCTTCTGTGGCTATCAACGAAAGTGGGTAACAAACACATCAGTACTTGTAACGGCTGCTATCTTTTAAGGTTTCGGGTTCAGGCTTGTGGGCATGGGCCATGGGCAGCTGAACACTGAACCCGAACGCGCCCAAATCCAACAGCCCCCCCCCCCCCCGCGCAATGCAGGAGCCTTAATTATTTGCACAGAGTTTGGGGGTGCATTCGCAAAATAAGAGCTGTCAAAAGTTGCAATACCAATTTAAATATATCCATTTCTGAAAGCTTATGTGTTATACACAAAATCTGGGCCTCTGGGACTAGTATTCGCTAGGGCTGCTTATGATAACAGCAGTTGCACCACCTGCCAAACCCTGCTGTAGATTCTAAGGCCCCGACTTTCTAGAAAGCCTCATAATCACCCAAAGAGCCCTTTCAAAGGAAGCCTAAACCCTACAGCCGCCAGCTCCTGGTCCTAAACCCTGTAAGCCCGAACCTCTAAACCCCTAAATCCTAAACCCCGTAAACCCTCTAAACCATAAACCCTTAAACCCCTAAACCGCAAACCCCGAAACCCTTAAACCCTATAAACCCAAACCCCAAACCCTTAAACCCCAGACCCCAACCCCTAAACCGTAAACCCGAAACCCTAAGCGCGCCGCCTGGGGCATGGAAGCCAGCAGCCGCAAAGCCAGAGGCCACCTCTCAGCCTTCTCGCAGGCGCTGATGGCAGCATTGAAGCCTTCGCGTGTGAGGTTTAGGGCTTTAGGGTTTGGGGTTTAGGGTTTTGGGGTCCAGGGTTTAGGGTTTGGGGTTTAGGGGTTAGGGTTTGGAGTTTAGGGTGTGAGGTTTAATTGGCTTAGGGTTTAGGGCTTGGGCTTTAGGTGTGTGTTAACTCTTGTCGCGTTGATCCGCTTTTCTTATAGACGTCCTTCATGGGAAAGCCGAGGATTCACATGTTAGGGTCTGCCCTACACCAAGAAGCTAGCTGATTTAGCTTCCTTACAATGACTTCTTGATAGGAACAGCTAAAGGTTGTCAGGAATTAAAGCGAGAGTTCAGGGCCCGTACACTGGAACATCAAGTCCCACGCCTGGACTAAACCAAGTCTAGATGGGGGGGGCAGGGAACTTGGTAAGTCGTTTATAAGTAGGGTTATAATTGGGGTAACTCCATGTAGGGTACTTATAATTCTACTTATAACCTACTTACTAGGTCCCCTGCCCCTCCAAGTAATCCCAAACCCTGAACCGTCCCGATGTTCAAACGACAGCAGGGGCTTAGCAGGCTGCCGAACTGGATTTCCGTGCAAAGGAGATCGACCTGAAACCCAGACTTGCAAACGGACATCGGCGCCACAAATCTTACCTTAACCCTGAAGAACCTACCTTTTTAAGGACTTACATCAGGCAATCATAATAGGGAACCCTAAAAAGTTAGGTCATTCAGGGCTAAGGTAGGGTTTAGGGTATTGAATTCTTCGGCGTACCCTAATTCTTCAGCGTTCATGTACCCGTTTGGTACAGACGTTGCCGTAGAGCCGATCCACAGGAAGCCTATACCCCTTGCAAGGGATCTATAAGGGTTCCTTAACGGGATCTATGAGCGTTCTATAAAGGGTTTAGGGTTTAGAGCTTCCGTAAGTATATACTAAGTGGGGACATGGACCTGTAGTCTCGGTTGTCTCAGAACACAGACCACTAGCACAGCATGCATCCAAACCTGGCCCTCCACTGATTCTCAAGTTCACTCCTGACACACCGAAGGTTGTAGGGTTCAGCCTTTTAGGGCTGAGAGCCTCTTTAGCGAGTGCCGCAAGTGGGGCCTAAGAGCTTATGACTATAACCTCAATATATCTGGGTGGTTGTCAAAATTATGATCCTTTTTTTAATATAATACGGCACCTAATATTTAGGGTACCCAAAAAAGGACCCTAATTTTGAAAACCACCCATCGGAAGTCTTGCAGATCCAAGGCGCTGATGACGTCTGGAGTCAAGCCTGCCGTCTGTATCGAGTCGAAGAGATGCAGCCCAATTTGCCACTGCGCGCCCTGATTGGGTTCAAGAAACCCTAAACCCTTCAGCCCAAAACCCTTAACCGTTGAGGGTCCAGGAGAGAAGGGCTCCAAGGCTTAGGCACAAGATGGCATGAGGCTTTGAGTGTCACCAGGCTTAACCTACGGCTTTAAATACTTCTTCGTGATTGAAGGATGTCGTGGCCCTTTGTTGGGTACAAAAAACCCACAAACAGGGCCTGCTTGGACCCTCAGCGCTAATGTGAGCTCGTTTGTAGATCGTGTTTGGGAATATGGAGCTTGGGAAGCCGGGAATCTGACATGCAATGGGTTGAAGAATTCTCACAATGCAGCCATCCGAAAGGGGCCAAGTATCATTATGGTATATACTTATAGGGTATTTTGAGGGGTCTAAGTATATACCATAATGATACTTGGACCCTAGGGGCATGTGGAGCAAGGCTGGAAAGTTCGAGAAGCATTAGATGCGCAGAGGGGAACACGCACCACGTCCCCGTCTTCTTCGCGTTCTACTCAATGCCTGTGGCTTGGCTTTGACTCTGTTTCTATTAAAGTCAATCTGTGCTGCTGCTCTTAAGGTGCAGGGTTGGTAGTTTGCAACTTGGACCTTGTCGCGTCAGCGATGCAGAATAAAGCTGGAAGCACGGGTGGTCAAGATCTAAAACCTCGAGCTACGCAATTCCCGAAACTCAAAACCCGAAACTAAACTCTAAGTCCACCAATACGGCGTTCCTGTTCTCAGGGTTACTAACTTGTCGTTTTCTCCCAGGTCCTTCTCACAAGCGCTGATAGCCGCGTTGAGGATGATGACATCGCCTTTCTTGTTGCTTCAGGAAGTGGAGGAGGGAATTCAAGGACTTGACTACATCAGGAACAACTACAAGGATCCCCTCTCCCAATTCCCCTTAATCAATAACTGCCGACATCATTCCTCATGCCGCCCTGCTCTTAATATGAAGGTTCGTATAAAGTAAATATATAGGCCTTTATCATTAGAACAGGGTTTTGGGGCTCATTAGACTCTACTTACAATAAGTTACCCCCCCCTCCCCCCAGTAGGTAATTATGAGGGCCCCTTTATTATAGGACCCTGCTACAGATCCCTTATAGAGCCCTCTACGGAACCCTTTAAAGGAATCTTGAGCCCCCCAAAACACCAATGAGTTGCTGGGGAGGCTTTGCGTCGCCATGGCGTCAAGGAAGGCGATGGCCAATTGCCACTGGCCATCTCTCTCGAAGGCCTGGGCTTCACAGTAGCGGCTTCTTTTAACTTGGTACACTTCTCGATTTGTGCGTGTCATCACAGTAAGCGGTTTAGGGCTTGGGGCTTACCCGGGGCATCCAAAAACCTACTGTTTTAAGGGATATAATCTCTAATTGATACTGGGTCATAACCTACTGTTTTTGTAGGGTTTGGGGATACTTAGGAATTAGACTTTTAGGGTTGAGGATTTCGGGTTTAGGGGTTGAGGCTGCAGGCTTTAGGCGTTTAGGGCTTTAGAGGCTACCCCAGCTTTAGCCAGTGCTCATGAAGGTGCCCTTTTTGTGCAGCACTAAACAAAGGGATATCCCAGAAGCATCCTTCTGGAACCGCAACAGGCTCGCGACGAAACCCTACTTTGAAACCCTGTAGGACCCTTAATGGAAGCCTATTGCAGACCCCCTCTAGAAGATCTTCTATGGAACCCCCAAGTGAAACCCTAAACCCCAAATCCTGTAAGGATCCTTTTTCTCTAGTACCCATCAGAGAAATACCCTAGCTCCCAAAGCCGTGGAGGATCTTTCATAGAAGCCCATAGGAAACGGGACTACCAGAAAGATCCCAGAGGCGCTGATGGCGGTGCTGTAGCTGATCACATCCTCAGCTGCGGGCTAGTCCAGCCGGAGCTCAGTCTATGTCGGGACAGGGAAAACCCTTAGGGTCATTGTACCTAAATAGGGATCCAGTAAGGATTGCTGTAAGGGTTGCTACAAGGGCTCTTAGTAACGGTCTAGGGTATACGGGCCATGGAAAAGTAGCAAAAATACAAATTATGCGGAATGACGTCCTTCAAACCTTTAAAACCTTAACCCTCCCTGACCTTTTTTTTTAATACGCAAGCCCTAATAAACCCAATAAGCCCTACACCGACTGCCGAAAGCCCAAAGATGCTTACATCCCGGAAACCCAATATGCCGCTGCTATTGACTGGGATGCCCAGTAACCTAGGAATGAAAAGGGCTCCCTTTTTGGTATTGGGTCACTTTATAAGGAACTTAGGACTACAAAAAGGGAATGAGGGTACTACTGGGCATCCTAGTTGATGTTCTGTGCAAACCAGGGGTACCGTATTCTGGGGGCCACATACTAAGGATCCTACTATTTAGGGTACCATAGCAGGGTCCCTTATTCTCGGAAACCACCACATGGTGCTCTCCATCAAGGCTGTACCATAGCATGATCAATGCACGCAACCAAAACAGCAAATCCGCAACCCCAGGTAATAAATCCTAAAGCCTAAGCCCCAAACGTCCCTAAACTTCATACTCATAAAAACTTGAAACTCCCAAACCCTAAAACCTTTTTGATCACTTTAAACAATCCTGTCAGATCCTTTGAAAGGAACTTTATAGATGCTTACCCAGGATCCGGTGTCAGCTGGGCCTGAGGCATGGATTGAAAGACGAAAAGAGCCAGCTGCCACTGTCCCCCCTTTTCGCAGGAGGTCATGGTGGCGTTGTAGCCTAAGGTTGTTCCGATGTGGGAGCTAGGGTTGAGCACTTGACCAAATTCCTGTTAAGGAATTGAGGGTTTTGAGTTTAGGGCCTTGGGCTAAAGGTGTTGAGTTTAGAGCTTATGGGGTTTGAGGCTGTGCGGCGGCGAGAGCTTTCACACCAACATACAGTGCAAGTGTGTCGTAAACGCACACACTGCCAGGTGTACTGTAGAGGCCTTGGTAATTAGAACCGGGCTTTTGAGGTCTACCATGCGGTTGATGATATAAATCCTGCATTACCGTCGTGACCCTATAGACTATTGGGAATATGGGGTATTCCTCGTTAGGGGTAATGCAGGATTTACATCATCAACCGTAGTAACTATGATCAGACCCCTAAGGAACGGTAATCATTCAAGCTTCCATATTTCCGTGTCTGCAAGTAGCTGATGTTCAAGTTCTTTCCCGGCTCTGTGTCAGGCATCTCGCTGAAAAGGTGTAAAGCCATCTGCCACTGCGCGCCCGCGGCAAGAGAGCTGATGGTGGCGTTGTAGCCTGAGCCCTAAGGCCTAAGCCCTGCACGTTAGACCGTAAACCCTGTAGTTTTAAAAACGGATACACGTTCCTGCTTCGCTGAGAGCCCTAAGCCTTTCACTTATGCTGATGTCAGCCACGAAGCGAAAAACACTGACGAAGAAACATGCTCGGAGCAGGGAAATGGGAACAGCGACGTAAAAGGAACAGCTGGTATTGAAGCGATGCTAATCGTAAAATGCTAATCGTAGAGAAAGACGTAGCGGTAGCACTCGCAGCAATGGCAAAGTCAGCTGCAGCTAAACCCTAAACCCTAAGCCTAGACCCTAAGAACTAGAACAATTAAAAAAACAAAAAAAGCTCTATGCTCTTCCCCATGCCAAGGTGGCTGGTGATGTTGGGCACGAGTTGATTCTCAGGCATGGCATGGAAGAGAGACAAGGAGAACCTCACTTGTCCAAAAAGTTGAACCTTGCAGAATCGAGCCCCAAAAGTTGAAAAGATGCGTCTATAGCCAATAAGGAACTGCCACTCTTCTCCCTTTTCACAGGAGCTGATTGCAGCGTTGTAGCCTGGGCTGGGCCAAAGCCACGGAATGCTGAGGAAGCCTGGGTCTACCGTGTATCCTGAAGCCTGGACCTTGAACCTAAATGCACAGCCATTATCATATAGTATATTGCATGCAAAAATACGTTAATATGAAAGTGGATGCAGAAGACTTTCTCTTTAAGGGCCATGAACCCTTGAATCTTGCCTGAAAAAACCTCCAACGCTCTAAGACCCAAACCGCACGATCGGTTGCTAAAAGCGCTTGTAGCCTAAACCCAAAACAAACACTCCCAAAGGGTCCAAGTATCATTATGGTATATACTTAGACCCCCCAAAATACCCTATAAGTATATACCATAATGATACAGAAAGCGTCTCCAGAAATACTTGGAGCCTTTGGGACTCAATGAAACCTCAAGCAGCCCAACTTAACGCGCTGAATTGGAAAAGATACTGTAACTTGCGCGCGCTTGGAGCCAGAGTGTCTTTACACAATCCGTGGAGTGTTGAAAATTTTGCTATCAACCCTAAACCCTAAACCCCTAAACCCTAAACCCAATACTTCCTGGACTCCAGGAGCCCCAGCCAATCGAGGCTGAATCCTGGTCTCTCCGAGTGGCTTGTGACGTTTATTGGAGCCCCCAAAAGCAGATAAGCAAAAATGAGGATAGGGATATCCCATATAAAGCCCCTGATAATGAAGCCCAATAAGGTAGGGATATCCCTATAAAATGCTTATTATATCCTTTTTGAGTCCCTAAGTTTAGACAGAGTAGGGGTCCTGCACAGCGGTACTTGAGGGGCCTTCTGACGCTTCGACCCCAGGCCAAACCCTCAACCCTCAATCCTAACTCCCAAACCTTAAACCCTAACCTCTAAACCCTGAACCCCTAAACCCTGAACCCCCAAATCCCTAAACCCTAAACCCCAAACCCCTAAATCCTGAACCGCAAAACCCACAAAGCCCTAAATCCCAAATCCGAAGAGTCTCCGAGTTGCTTATGACGTTTGGGGATAGCTTCGACTTCGGCATGGCGTTCCTGTGCTGAACTTAGGCCCCCAGCAAAGGTTCCTTTTTAGGATCCTATAAGGTCATCCCAAAAGGAACTACAATGGAGCTTCTTTTATAGGTTGCTCTGCTGAACTTAGACCCCCAGCAAAACTCTTACTCTAGCTGTTTCTAAGGGATTGAAGGAACCAAAGACTAAAAGTGTCTAAGGGATTGAAGGAACCAAAAACTAAAAGTGTCTAAGGGATTGAAGGAATCAAAAACTAAAAGTTTCTAAGGGGAAAAGTGTCTAAGGGATTGAAGGAACCAAAAACTAAAAGTTTCTAAGGGGAAAAGTGTCTAAGGGATTGAATGAACCAAAAATTAAAAGATGCTCCTAAGTACCCCCAAGGTTCATCAAATGGAGGCTCCACTCCCAAGCTGTGGATCTCTCGCAGGAGCCTCCGTTCGAGTTTAGGGTTTGGGGCTTAAGAGTCCAGGAGTTGAGGGGTTTGGGAGTTTAGGAGTTGCGGGGTTCAGGGTCTAGAGGATTTGGGGCTTTGGGTTTAGAGTTTAGGGTTTGGGGTTGAGAGTTGTTTGGCTTAGGACTTTGGGCTTAGGGTTCTGGGCTTTGTGCTCCTGCACCCACAAGCTTGGTCGGATTCATGAACGTTTAGGGCTTCTCGTTTGCGGTTCCTAAACGGTCCTAAACCCTACGACCTAAATCGGTGTAGCCTTGAGGGTGCGGCTAAAGGGGCCAGCCGTTTGAAATGGGTCAGTCTTCGGCTGCTTTCTGGTTGCGCTACGCCCACAGCCCAGTGCCGTGCCCCTAAATTCTGCAATGCATCTCCGACTGAAGGGCTTGCAAGGAAGCTTTAGGCTGTGTGGCTTTCGTGCTGCAACTTCGCGAAGTTTCACAGGTCTTCCGCCTGTTCTGTCACTTAGGGGGGCTGCCCGTGCTGCGGAAGCACGAGCTGAATTTGCTCCGAAGGGCCGCATTATAAGGGCTTCCTGAAAACTGAATAACCTATCTTTTTAGGGTTCCTTATCATGATTCCTTGTATGAGTCCTTAAAAAGGTAGGCTATTCGGGGTTAAGGTTAGGCCTTGATTTGCAAAGTTCACTCGGCTTGTACAACCCGACCGTCCCAGAAGATCCGGTGGAAAACCCAGGCCGGAACTGAGCCTAAACCCTAGTATTATTAGTATTAGTGGCATCAATAGTATTGGTAGTATTCGTAGTATTAGTAGTCTTAGATAGTAGTAACCTTAACCCCCTAAACCCTACCTTAACCTGACTGTTGGTTAGTAGGGAATGGAGGAATGGGGTACAATTGTAACTTATAACTACTATTACTACCATTCTTCCATTTAACCTACCTGGGTTGTCCTTTAAGCCCTTTGAAAATTATTTACTATTATGGTTCTCTACAGAATAGTAGGGGAAATTAAAAAAGATCCCAAAGGACAACCCAGGTCCCTTTTTAACTACCTTAACCCTGAAGAACCTATCTTTTTAAGGACATGTATAAGGAAACCATAATCGGGAGCCCTAAAATTTTAAAAAGGTTTATGGGGTCCAGGTCAACATAGGTCAACCCTAAACCCTGAACCCTAAACCCTGAGATCAACCCCAAACGACTCTCACGACGAAGAGCTGATGGCCGCATTGTAGCTGATGACATTGGGCGACAATCCGTCCTGAGATGGGAGTTTCCGAAAACTAGGGGTACCGTATTTTGGGGTCCTCATATTAAGGGTCCTACTATTTAGGATACTATATTAGGGGCCCCTTTTTACGGAAACCGCCAGATTGCTGCATACGATGGAACAGAGTTGAGGCTGTCTGACTATGATTACTTACTTGCGGAGCAACCATATTGATAAGGATGGCGATGACGATAACGATGTACAGGTTCGTGGAACATGGTCATGGTGGCTGTAACGATGTTGAAGACGAGCTATCTGATGGCGATGATAATGAACACAGTGTCGATGGTGATGGTCCTGGTGATGGTTAGTACGACTTTGAAGGTGACTCAGTGACGATGCTGGCGCCGATGACCTTAAGCACGAATGCTGATGGTATTGCTGCTGGTGACGATGTAGATGACGATGCTGATGCTGATGATCACGAATATGACGACGAAGCTGTGAGTCATGATGGCGCAGAACATGGCGAGGCTGCTTTCGCATGTAAGGATACTTGCATTTTATCAAAAAAATACCCAGAGACTCCAATATCCCTTAAATAAGGAATATAGCTTAAATCATATAGGGATCCCTACTATAATTTAAGGAATATTCCTTAATTAAGGGATATTGGAGTCTCTGGGTAAATCGGACCCACCACCAACAAGACCTAGGTTCGAGTCGAAGGGAGCTCAACAGCTGCAATGACAAGCGCCACTCTGCGCTCTTCCCACAGGCGTTGATTAAGGCGCCATAGCCTGTGGATACGCTTGTCAGTCAAACTATCTGCTATATTGGTACTTGGACTTTCTTTGTGCAAGCTTATCTACTACATGGGTACTTGGAGCATGTTTAGTAAGCTCAGGGGGTGCTGTTTGTTGGTCCTGGCTTTAGAGATCCGACTTCTTTGGAGTTGAATGTAGCAAGGCCCGCTGTTTTAGAGGGCTTCTGGTTCACAGATTCACAATCCTGTGGGATAACCCTAGACCCGGATCCTAAACCGGGACGTCATGCTCTTGAGGTCCCTGCTTCGGTTTGGTGATCTGACGTAGGGGTTCAAAGTTCCGGTTTCGGGTTTAGGGCTGACAGTTTAGGGCTCAGGGTTTCCGATATTACGATGTTACGGCTTTAAGGTTTCCGAGTTCCGGGCTCAGGGCTCTAGTCGCCCTGAACCCTAAGCCGGTCCTAAACCTCACCCACCACGCCATCTCAGAGCCGAATGCAAAAGCCTCCACATCCCGACCCTCATCCCCAACTCCTACACGCACTTTTCCTAAGGATTTAAAGTACATACTTGTCGGGTATCATGGGGAATTGAAGGTTAATCTTTTTGGTTGTATAGGGGTTATATAGGGACTATGCTACCCAACAAAGGTTAAAGGTCACCTACTCGACTACTAGGAATAGTAACTGTGTATTGTGATCCAAGGGACTGACGATGTTGGGAACCAGCTTGTCCTGCAAAAAAGCCACATGACCCAGATTTTTGGGACGTTCAAAAATACAATCTGGGGTTTAGGTTTTAGGGTTTAGGGTTTGGGGTTCAGGGTTCAGGGTTTAGTTATGCGACTAGGGTTTGAGGTTTAGGGCTTGGGGGGTTTTAGGGTTTAGGTTTAGGGTGCTGGGGCTTAGTGTTTGGCAAACTGTCTCGATATCGTATGCCCAAATACAGCTATGCTCTGGTTCAGCTATACCAAGATGACCTGGTCCTAAATTTGAAGCCTAAGCCTCAATTTCCCAGAGCCCAAAACCCTAAACTTGAACCTTAACCTCAAACCCTGCCTGAACGCCAGATAACCTACCGCTGTTGGAACTTTCACAGCAGATCATGATAAGGAGGACTAAACAGGTAGGTTCTTTAGGCCTTCACCAGATTTCTATACGAGCCTCGGCAATCGAGCGGAAGAGTTGCAAGGCGAGTGGCCATTGCCCACCACCTTCGCCTGGGCGCTCTTCTCGGATCTGATGGGAAGCCAAAAGGGGGGTTTAAGATTCTTGGGGTAGGGATTCCTGAATATGAAGCCTATTATGGGAACCCCAATCCCTACTAAACCCCCATAGGCTATAACCCCTTTTGGCCTCCTATGAGGATCCCAGTAGCCTAGAAATGAAAAGAGCTCCTATTCTTGGCACTCGGTTACTTTACATAAGGAACGTCCGGCCACAAAACAACGGGAAGAAGGGCACCCTGGCAGAAATAGTTTGTAAGAAACCTACTGCACTCTAGCTTCTGCAGAATCATGAAGGATTTTATGGCAATACTACGTACGTTTACCTGATCTGATTGCCCGTAACAAGACTCGGACCCAGTCGCAGGAGCTGATGGCAGCGCTGTAGCTGACAATGCTGGGAGCAATCCTTACTTCTCCAACTCGCAGGGAACCAACACCCACAACATCAGGCTGATCTTCGTGCATAAGAACCAGACCATTACACAAATTAGTGTTGGAGAGCGAAGTATCGAGGCGGACGGCATTGCATGGAACAGCTGGAGGGCCAGCTGCCACTGACCCCTTTTCTCACAGGAGCTAATGGCAGCATTGTAGGTGATGACATCGGGTGTGAGCTGTGCTGTGGGTAAGGTGTGGAACAAATGTAGTGCTAGCTGCCACTGGCCACCTTTTTCACAAGAGCTGATGGTGGTGTTGTAGATGATGACGTCTGGCGTCAGACTCGCACTGGGCATGGCCTCGAAAAGTTGCAGTGCCAGTTGCCACTGGCCAGCTTTCTCGAAGGAGCTGATTGTAGCACTGTATGTGATGACATCAGCTACCACATGGGCTCCTTGCGCTCTTGAGTTCAAGGCCTTACTGTTGCTACTGTTGGGGTTGAGGCTGCTAGTATTGAGGATCTAAACCGAAAATCATAGCCCTAAACCCGAAAGCCCAACCATGAGAAACCTTACAGTCCTGGCATGGAGTGGAAGAGGTGCAGAGCCAGTTGCCATTGCTTCGCCGCTGCGCATGCGCTGAGAGCCGAGGAATATTGAGCACGTCCCAGCTTTATTCCACCATCTGCATGAAGAACCTGCTGCCAGATGGAACCTACCTTTGTTGGGTTGTTTATTAAGATCTAGGGCTGAGGGTTTAGGGCGTCTATAAGTTCTTCACACGGAAAGCTATTCGGGTTCCAGGTATGCCCAGAACAATCGTACTAGTAGGGGCCCGAGTTTTCTGCTCCATGGTAGTAAAGTGATTGTAACTCCGAATGGAGATTTCTGCCATTGAGATCTTTCTCGCATCCGTTTGTGGTGCCTCTCCATCCTCATATTTTAAAGCTTTTGGGCCCAAAGACCATGTTGTATAAGGCTTTAGTGACTTTAGTGCGATGTGGAGCTTAGGGTTAGCACAATTTTCGGCTTCGTTCGTATGATTCTCGTTTGAATGTCCTCTTCTGGCAAGGCTCTGGCTAAAACCCTCCAGCCTCGCTGATATGATTACCTAGAGTCTCCATTGTAGTTTCTCTGTTTGGTTTAGCCAACTCTGTATCATAGGATCCTAACCATAAAATTGGTTAACCAAAAAGGGAACTACAATGGAGACTATATAGTAGAAGCCAGAAAGTTGGAACATGATTGTCCCCATACCCTCAAGGTCAAGTAGAAGGGATCCTAGCACTAATCCTCCCAAAGCCATGTTCCAACTTTCTGGCGTCTACTACGGTTCATGATATAAATCCTGCATGACCCATTATAAGAAATATACCATACAGTATTTCCCAAGGTTTAGGGTCCTTAAGGTAATGCAGGATTTATATCATCAACCGTATAGGCAGGGTTTTGGGACTTCGGGGCTGCAAGGCATCCCCAAGTTGAAGAGCGATCATGAAGGAACATTCTGAGACTTTCAAAATTCTATACTGAACTTAGAACCCTAGCAAGAATTGTAATTTTAGCTGTTTCTTAGGGGTTATAATAACCAAAAATTAAAAATATCTGAAAGTACCCCTAAGAATTGAGGGTGTGTCTGTGTGTGTGTGTGTGTGTGTAGACACGTCCTCGGCCTGTGAAGTGGCTGTGGGTATAAGGTGACTCGGGGCAAGTCACATGAAACCCTCAACCCTCTATTGGTAGCCCCAAGCCCTGCAAAATAGTAGGTTATGACCCCTGAATGCAGTATCAGACCAAGCCCCAAAACCAGTAGCATTTCGAACCCGCAGGCAGGGTTTAGGGAAGCTGCTCGTGAACCCCTGAACCCTAGACCCTAAGCCCTAAACCCCAAATCCCCGAAACCCCTGAAACCCTAATCCCCTAAACCCAGCCCCTAAACGCTAAACCCAAAGCCCCTAAACCAATAAAGCACCAATCCCCCAAACCCCTAACCCCGAAACCCCTAGACCCTACTCCCCAAATCCCCTAAATCCCGAAACCCTACACCCTAAACCCTCGGAGAGCTTTGCTGACCTCCATCAGCTGGCAGACCAAATCGGGTCGCTTCTGGCTCCGCAAGTCTTTCCTCGACATCTTTAGAGTAAAAGCCAGAAAGTTGGAATATGATTATCCTGAGCCCTTTATGGTAAATTATAAGGTATCCTACCCTGAAACCATATTCCAAGTTTCTGGAGTTCCCTTGAGGGTTTGTGTCTTCGGGTTTTAGGGATCTCCAAATCACCGTCATGTAGGGACCGGACTACCCAGACGTATGTTTAGTGGGGTTTGGGGGTATATAACATGACCTGAACCCGAAACCCTGAACCCTAGCATGGGTTGGTAGTTGCCTTTGCTTGACTAAACTTCCCGACTGCAAAGTAAAAGGTGGCTTCAGGGCTTTGGATTCAGGTCTTGACGGATGCAGGGCGTGCCCTGGGGCTATACCCTCTAAACATGGGGGTCATGGCATATGGGAGTCTCCGAAAATACGGGACCCTAATAAAATGCCCTAAATAATCGGATCCTTATTATAAGGACCCCAAATAAGGTACCCCATCTTCCGGAAACTCCCATATTAATTTGTAGGAGATGGGGGCCGGAGATACACGTAGCTGTGCATTGCAGGATGTTGCTGCGACTTTGGGCCCATCGTTCTGGAACCTATCGCTCAGCTTGTGCTGCCAATGTAGTCCTAAACTCAAGGCTAAACACCTAAACCCCTAAACCCTAGACCCAAAACCCTGAACCGGGCTACCCGTCCAAGCATGGAGACCCCATGCAGTTTTCTCCCAAAGGGACAGCAGTTAAAAGACATGCTAAGTCCCGTGAGCCAATAAGGCCTAAAACCTAAACCCTAAATCCTAAACCCTAAACCCTAAAAGCCTGTTGTCAGCACACTCGTTTCTTACTTCGAGTCGTAGTCAAGGCATATTCATGAATCTCGATAAGTATAGGAGCCTCAATAATTAGAATAGGGTTTTGGGGCCCATTGTCTTTGCCTATAACCAGGAACCCGGTAAATTGTAAAGGTCCCTCTCTCTCGCTCTATTTCTCTCTCTCTCTCTCTCTCTTTCTCTCTCTCTCTCTCTCTTTCTCTCTCTTTCTCTCTCTTTCTCTCTCTTTCTCTCTCTTTTTTTCTCTCTCTCTCTCTCTCTCTCTCTCTCTCTCTGTCTCTCTGTCTCTCTCTCTCTCTCTCTCTCTCTCTCTCTCTCTCTCTCACTCTCTCTCTCTCCATAAAAACTCGGCGCTGGACACTGAACATGACGAGCCACAGATGGAAGATCTGACCCTGGAGAAATATTGCCGAACGGTTTCATGATGCCTCCCTAGGTCTCCAGCTACCTGAATAGTAGGTTACTGGGGTATACTTTCCTTGGTGGAGCCCAGTGCGTAATATAGGGGCTTAGAATAGGGCTTTGGAGAAATTTATACGATAACTGTAATAGGGAGCCCCCAAAACCCTATGCTAATCATTGAGGCCCCGGCATGTATACTGTCACTGAATAACAAGCCCGTGCCGGCGCCCCAATGCTCTTTGCGACCCTCTAATGTTCATAATGATTCGAGTATTCGGGGGACATGGCGGGAGTGCCTGCGCAACTATCAGACCGCTGTCACAGCAGCTTAGAAGCAAGCTGAGTGCGAAGAAGTATCTAGGAACCCGAACGCCCTGACTAAAATCTCTCGTTCCCAAAGCCGTGCATTCGGGGTGCAAGAGCTTGGTGATAGGTCCCGGAGACTGTTGCCATGACGAAAGCTTAGAGGCCACCAGCTCCTCGACCTGGCTAGACTGGCTTACCTTTGGTTGGTAGGGAATGGAAGAATGGTAGCAATACGGTAGTAGTTGTAATTGTACCCCATTCCTCCATTCCCTACTAACCAAAGGTAAGCTGGAGAAGGATTAGAGAAGGGTTTAGGGTTTCGTTCTTTCGGGGTTTAAGGTTTTAGAGATGTAGGGATTTAGGGCCTTAGGGTTTTCGGACTGGACAAGGGTTAGAGTAGGGTTTACCTGTATCCCCAAACCCTACAAACTAGTAGGTTATGACGCCTTAACAAGGGGTATAATCCTTAAAGCTTTAAACAGTAGGTTTTCGGATCCTCAGGTAAGGTAGGGTTAAGGGTTTAGGGTCTCGGGCTCTGGACTGAGAGCAGGTTTGGGTTTTAAAGATTTATAAGGTGCCTGTACGGGTTCGTGTAAGGCTTCCGTTAAAGGGTTCGTTAACAGGCTCCTGCAAGAGATCCTTTAAGAGCTGCTTGCAGGATTCATGAAGTGCTTCTTGAAAGGTCCAGTTTAGGGATCTATATGGGGTCTACGCAGGTCTCGGGCTTTGGGGGTTTCAAGGTTTAGGTGTGAGGACGTCGAGATGCAGGCTTAAAGTTCCCCGCCAGGAGGAATTGAAATTTGAGGATGAAGCCGCAGGATCTGTGCTCAAGGCTTTTGATTTCGGGTTGAAGGTGTAGATAGAGTCCAGATACACACACACACACACACATCCTAAACCTAAACCAAACAGGAGGCAAGGTCCACAACGAAGGCACCTGAGTTGGGGGTACCGGCTATATCCAAAATGATGGACCAGCGAACCCTAGAAAGAACAGACTTATACACCCGTGCAAAGCCTCGAAAACTGCAACATGGGGTCTGAATAAATAGAAATACCAAGTACCCTCCCCACCTCCTCAAAAAATTGAGATGCTAACTATGAATGCCCCTATACTATCATCAACACCTACTTAGGGCGCCTCAGAAGCACAAAAGCAACAGTTAGGATAAGGATATCCCATAAAAACCTCCCTATATAATGAAACCCCCTTTGTGGGTCCACAACTACTCGCTCACCTTCTGGTTGTTAGCGGGCCGCGGCAGCTCGAGCAGTCGCGCCAGGAAGCGGGACGACGAAGCACCCGCGCGCGATGCGGCATGCATGGGTTTAGGGTTTAGGGTTGAGCCAGCGGTCCAGCTTTCTCGATCTAGCTATGGGGTATTCAGCAGATCCCCAAATCGAAAGTCGCACGACAAAATCCTGGTTAGCCCCGTATGTGTAGAAACCTCTATCTACTCCAACCAGCAATCCATTTTATGCAGATGCATGTTTCTGTCACGCTGGAAAGATCTGCTGGGATGGGATGTGATGTAGAGTTCGGCTTTGTGCATAAGTATACACAGGCATATACGAGATGGTGCTGGGGCTTGAAGCTTGAGATTCAGAGTTTGAGGCTTGAGGGTTTTAGGTTTTGAGGCTTTTTGGGTTTGGGATGGTAACATAGGGGCCTGAACAGCTAGAATAGGGCTTTGGGGCCCATTATACTCTAATATAATCAGGAACCACCAACATAGCATACGTAAGTCTTAAGGCCCCTATCTTCGAGGGTGAGGGTTGAGTGTTTTGGTTTTTGAGGTTTGAGCCTCCGCTGGCCGCCGAGCACATGCTTCTCCCGCATTGCAAAAAAATCGTAAAGGGCTGGGGATTATAAGATTTAAGGACTCACAATTTATGAGGTTTAGAATGGCTCATAAGATTTAAGGAGTTTTTGCAGGGGAAGTCTTAGCACTTTGTTATCTATAGACGTGCAGAAGGAGTATTTTCACGGCTGGCTACGCGTAGGATGTTCAGTCGGTAAGCTAAGCTCCAACGAGAATAGCTACAGTTGCCAAACCCCAACCTCTGAACCGCAAACTCCAAACCTAGGAGTTAAGATTGGGGGGATCCTTGGGAGTTAAGATTGGGGGATCCTTGGGGGATATTTAAAACCTCTGAATAAGGTCCGTGTCAAGAGAGCCAGACCTAAGGGTAAGAAGGGTTGGTCTCCCAAATACTACCAAGGAAAACCCCAAACCCTGCGCCGGAACCCTATTCAGAAGTACCTATGTGGGTGGTTTGTTGTCAATATTATGGTCCCTTTTTGGACCTCATTATCATACGGCACCTAATATTGAGGGTACCCAAAAGGAGCCTTCATTTTGACAACTACCCATGTCTTCTGACACCGTAGGCTTTCAAGGTTGTTTTTGGGTTCTCTGGCCTAGGGTGTTAGGGTTCAAGGTGTCGGGCTCAGCTTTAGGACCTTGGGGAGGGGTCTAACGTGTAGGGCTTAGGATTAAAGCTTGAGGGCGCGAGGTTTGGAGTACTTCCCCCACCCATCGTATCAGAAGCAAAGGAATCGACTGAACTTCTCTCAATGGTTTAGGGTTTAGGGTTGGATTGGCATGCTTCAATGCTATATCAGCAGCTCCTCACAACCAGGGGTCCTTTAGGGAATTTGGCTTAGGGCTTACAGTTTAAGGGAATCACCAGAGAAGGGAGCCCCCAGGTGTATACCTAATTGCCGAGTATCTTGGGGAACTAAAGGTCAACCTTTAGGAGTATATTGGGAATTATACAAAGAGCATAGTACCCCAAATCGGCTACCTACTCTACTACTAGGCAACATGAGCCCAAGCTGCGCCTCTGATGCTGCGTTCCGTACTTATGATGATTATCATATATCCCAAATATACCCCAAAACCCTAGTCTAATCATCAAGGCCCATCTCCCATGTGAGCCCAAGCTGCGCTTCTGATACTTGGTGAACGCCTTCTGCTTCGAGGTGTGCCAAGTCTTGTAGAAGCGCCTGCTTGGACGCTACTTGGAGGGGCGGTGGACTTGGTAACTGGGTAGTAAGTAGACTTATAAGTACCCTAAAAGGGTTATGGTACTTATAACTCTACAAAATAACTACTTAGTAAGTCCCCCGACCCTCCAAGTACACACTGAGGTTTAAGGGCTTATGGGTTTCGTCTACTCGGGTTTAAAGGTGCAAGGTTTAGGTGATTGTTCAGGGCTGAGGGGTGTAGGAGATTGTTTAGGGGTTAAGGTGTAGGGGCCTTACTGAAACCCTAAGGAACCCTGTTGGTAATCAGAACAGCTTCTCTATTACACTCCGTACTATAAGTCCCGATGTGGAACTCCACAGGGGTATTCCCCTATCCCACATCTTCCAAAGTCCCCCGAGACCCTAAACAGAAACTTCCATAAGCCCAGCAGACCGAACATCTTGAG